GGCCGGCCAGCTCTAGGAAGAGCCCTGGTGGTTCCAAACATCTTCCACTCACCGATGATGGAGGCCACTGTTCTCACTGGAACTTTCAGAGCAGCAGAATTTTTTCTGTAACCTTCCCCAGCCTTGTGCCTCGAGACAATTCTGTTTCTGAGGTCTATAGACAATTCCTTTGTCTTCATGCTTGGTTTGGGCTTTGACATGCACTTTCAACCCTGGGACCTTATATAGACAGGTGTATGCCTTTTCAAATCATGTCAAATCATCTGAATTTACCACAGGTGAACTCCAATTAAGCTGCCGAAACATCTCAAGAATAATCAGTGTAAACAGAATGTACCTGAGCTCAATTTAGAGCTTCACGGTAGAGATCTGAGCGGGACAAAATTTTGAATTCCGCTCCCGCCAAGTTTCAGGCTGAACCCGACCGCTCCCGCTTATATTCAGCATTTGTTGTCCTGCTGCCCGACCTGCCCTATTTTCTACCCACCGTGTGCGTTCCCGCTAGCGAGCCAGGTTAAGAACAAAACCGAAAACCTATAACAAGCTGTCTGTATAAACACACACATTAGCACCAAGTATATGACACAAAAACCCACAGCATCACGCTCTCTCTCATTCTAAAGCTAGATCAACTTTTGCAAAACAAGATGGTGGCTTGCAGATGGAGCTTGCAAACAGTGCTAATTTCACTGCGTTTTAAAGTTTGCTTTATCCAGTTAAGGAGTCCAGTTTGGGGCATTTTACTTTTTTAATAGAGGACAGTGATATGGTGGAGAGACATTTCGGCATGCGAGCGAATATTTTTTGCGAGTCGTTTATATCTTATCCGTGGGCAGTTCCGTGTACGAAGAAAAATGGAAGTAAAAGAAAACATTGTAGTAGTGATGGATCAATTATAATTATATGCTTACTTTTGTCTGGTGATGTCATCCATGCCCTGGCGCGTCAGCAGGAGGATGTCAACAGCCAGGCGATATTGAAGTTAGGTCACACTTTGATGTGCGGCAATCGGCCGGTGAAGAGTGTCAAAGACCAGCGATTTCAGAGGAATGGAGTTTTATTGCGAAAAACTGGGACAATTTGTCATCTGTGCATGATGAAGCGAGAGATGTGCGAACTGCACTTGGAATGCCAGCTGGTGACGTCGCCAGCCATGAGGCCCGTTTTCTTTGCCCGGATATTATGGAGCCTGCGTGAAAACAGGTGGCTTGGTCTTTGAACTTGGATGCTCTGGTAAGCGCACGTCATGAAAATGTTATTCACGGTGCTGACTTCAAGAGGTCCTCTAATGGTCTACGTATTGCTCATTTAAACATAAGTAGTCTTCTTCCAAAGATTTCCGAGCTGAGACTGTTGTGTTTGGATGAACGGTTGTTGGTACATGGGTGCTGTGAAACTTGGTTGGACGGTTCAGTGTTGGACTCAGAAATTGAAATTGTGAATTATAGTTTCATAAGAAGAGACCGAAATTGTAAAGGTGGTGGTGTATGTGTTTATATAAGATCAGATTTGTCTTTTAATATTAGAAATTATATGAATAATGCATCCACTGAGGGCGAAGCAGTGGCGCAGTAGGTAGTGCTGTCGCCTCACAACAAGAGATCGCTGGTTCGAGCCTCAGCTCAGTTGGCGTTTCTGTGTGGAGTTTGCATGTTCTCCCTGCGTTTGCGTGGGTTTCCTCCGGGTGCTCCGGTTTCCCCCAAAGACATGTGGTACAGGTGAATTGGGTAGGCTAAATTGTCTGTAGTGTATGAGTGTGTGTGTGTGTGGATGTTTCCCAGAGATGGGTTGTGGCTGGAAGGGCATCCGCTGCGTAAAAAAACTTGATGGATAAGTTGGTGGTTCATTCTGCTGTGGCGACCCCAGATTAATAAAAGGGACTAAGCCGACAAGAAAATTAATGAATGAATGCATCTATTGAAGCTGTGTGGGTGGATGTTCTATTACCAGAGTAAACCTATTTTAATTGGAAACTTGTATCAGCCACCAGATCAAAGTAATTTTTATGAATTGTTGGAAGGAATTTTAAATGATTTTGTGAAACCCCATGGAACGGAAGTTATAATATGGGGGATTTAAACACTGATATGTCAAATATGGACTCTGTGTTATATAAGGCTTTTAAACATTTTTCTGATTTTTTTGGATTGAAGCATATTATTAAGGTACCAACTAGAATTACTCCCAAATCGCAGTCTATTATTGATTTGATTCTGACATCTGATTCAGCTTAGATATGTTGTAGTGGTGTAATTGAGTGCAGTATGGGTGATCATTTTTCAGTATATTTATGTAGAAAAGTGCAAAAAGCGAAGATTATGGGCAATAATACTGTTTTAGTGAGGTCAATGAAGAATTATAGTCCTAATTTATTTTGTGAAATATTAGATAAAGTTGATTGGTCTGGGGTAAGGGGATCTAAGGATGTGAGTTAAACAAAGATCAGATCGTTGGATTACAGATGAAATAATACAACTATTAAAGATAAGAGATGATAGTTTTCCAAAGTTTAGGAAGGATAGTGAGTGTAGCTGGTACAAGTTTTATAAATGAAACAGAATTAAGGTTTGGAACAAAATAAGAGAAGCAAAAAAGTTTTTTTAAGGATAAGATAAATGAAAATAAATTTGAACCAACAAAAAAGGGGGATGTACTGAGAAATTTAGGTTATTCAAATGCTAAAAGTAAGAAATCATCTAAAATTAACTTAAAGGTAGAAAACAAATTAATAGTTAATCCAAAGCATATTGCCGAGTCTTTTAATCAGTATTTTATATTGTTAGCAAAAAATATGTGGTCAGCTTCCACGGCAACCAGCTATTTACAACGAAGATGGAGTGATTTCTTTTTATAGAAAACAGGACATTTTCTGGATTCTTTTAGTTTGAGACAGGTTACAGAAAGTGAAGTTTTAAAAATCATTAGTGAGTTAAAATTAAATAAGGCTCCTGTAATTGATAATATTCCTGCAAGATTTTTTTAAAGACTCTGTTAAAGTGATTGCCCCTTGGTATCACATATTTTAAATTTATCTATTGAACAAGGAAAAATACCATGTGATTTTAAAAGTGCTATAGTTATACCATTATTTTAAATTAGATGTTCGTTATATATGATTAATTACAGACCTGTTTAAATCTTGGGGGTTATGTCTAGGCCCACAAAAATGTTTTTATGAATATATGTCGAAAAATTAGGTTCTTAGAAGGCAAGCTGATCTGTTGGATGTTTATTCTTTAAAATTATTGGCAGGAGCTTTAATTCAACCCCATTTTGATTATGCTACCTCATTTTGGTATAGTTGCTGCTCAAAGAATATGAAGGAAAAATTGCAAAAGGCACAAAATACATTAATACGAATAATTTTTAAAATTCATCCTAGAGCACATTTGCACAAAGAGTTTTTTTAAAGAATTAGGCATATTAACTGTAAGTAATAGAGTATGTTTTTTAAAACTGGGATTGGTAAGTAACATGTTTAATAATGTGGTTTCTAGTTATTTGGTGAACTGTTTTTAAACGGTGAGGCAACAGCATTTATACAGTACTAGGGGTTGGGATTCTGATATTTGTTTATATACGAGTGCAATCATATGGAACAAATCACCAATATCGATCAAGGCAATAAAAGATATAAGGAGGTTCAAAAAAGCGATTAAAATATGTTTGTTTGATGAGGATAATAAGTTTGCATAGTGTACTTGAGGTTGACTTTATATGTTACTTGAGTGTGAATAGGGTTGCGGCTGGAGGGCCATAAGCTGCGTGGAACATATGTTAGATTAGTTGACGGTTCATTCCACTGTGGCGACCCCTGATTGATAGAGGGACTTAGCCGAAAAGAAAAATGAATGAATGAAGGAATGTATTTTTGAATTATTCTGTTCCTGCTTTAAAATGTGGAGGTACTGTTTGTTTTATGCTTCATCAGTTTTTTGAAGCCATACGTTGTTTTATTTAACAGCGAGGACCGCAATGGAAATAAGCCCAGGGCTTTATTGTGTTTTTATCCACAACAGTTTTTATTTCAAAATATTGTATTTTTTTACAGCTTGTTTAAAATCTGTCAAATAAAATTCTATTCAATTCAATTCACACACACACACACACACACACAGAGCTCTCTCTCTCTAGACAGCAACAAGCAAGCTAAACACAGCATCACGCAGTCTCATTTACGCACAAACATACGTATGCTCGCTTGCTCGGAAATCGGAAGCAATATTGTTTGACCGCCCGCACCCATCCAAAATTACACCAGATACCGACCGCTCCCTCGCTTTATTCGGAAATTTATTGGGAATGCAGACCTCTAGTTTACGGCAAAGGCTGTGAATACTTACATACATGTGATTTTTATGCTTTTTTTATTTGAAATAAATTTGCAACAATTAAAAAAAACTTTTTTTTCACATTGTCATTATGGGGTATTGTGTGTAGAGTTTTAGGGAAATAAATTAATTTAATCCATTTTGAATAAGGCTGTAACATAAAAAAATGTGGAAAAAGTGAAGCGCTATGAATTCATTCCAGATTCACTTTATTAAAGTTTATGTATTATATTTATATAAAGACTATATATATTTTTTTTTTGTTGGCCACATTGTGCAGTAGAAATCAGCTATGGCATCTATCTTTGAACTAGCCTCGTAAAAAAAGGCAATCCTTAACACATCACACAGATGAAGGGCCAAAGCACAGGCTCAGCATTGCATGCATAGTATAATTTATTTACTGTTGCTAGACCTTGCACATTCTAATCACTCTCCAAATTTATGAACGCATATGGTTTGAAGGTTAGAAGAGATGACTCTGATCATTTCAGTTATGTACCAAAATGTTTTAATTGTTGCCTTGGTTGGGTCCTTGCTGAGATCAGGGGTTTTACCCTTCATTTCGCAAGCTGGCTCAAATGTGCTGAGGTTACACTTTTCACAAGGCTGTTTCCTCCAATTATTTGCTCTTGATATCTCCCTCTCTATCTGTTTTTTTCTTGTTAGAGACCTCACTCAGCTTTTTCTGTTGTCTTGTGGGTGTTTAAAGATGATCAGCTCTGGTTAGTCAGATTTCTTTCCTGTGGTTTAGTCTTTTACTCTTTGTGCATTGTCAGGGTCAATTTGCTCTGTTAGATCCATGCATATATTACAGTTTTAAAATGATTTTTAAAAATTTACTTTTTGTAATTAATCATGATTAATCACGAAACACCATATGTATTAGAGAAATAAAAACAGAGGCATGTAAGTGCCATTTAAATTTCAAAACAATTAATGCCAATAACAAAGTGATTTCCATGTTGGATTCTAAGTGGACTACAAAAAAAAAAAAAAATCCAAAATACAGGCATTGCAAATATGGAAAATAGAATATTATTATAATAATAAAGTATTGAATACAAACAATTGTACTCAAACAATTGTACAAAACAATTGTATACATTAATTATAAAGTAGAAACAGTTTTACTTAGTTCTCCTTAACGTTTAGCCAGTTGCTTAGACAGTCCAGTCTACACACACACACACGAACACATAACAACATGCGCAGTACAGTGCACCCTGTGAGCGAGAGATCCCTTCAGATTCATTATCACTTACAATCGCGTTTATCAAATTTGCCTAAACTAAGGGCTCTACAGTATGGCTTTATTTTCCAAGCAAGGATTCTGACACAGCAACATGAGGCAGACGCTTTACAAAATTTGCGTGTAGCGGGAAACACATCAAACTTAATGAAACATTTGAGGGTGCATGGAATCAACTAATAACTTACAACATGTTGCTGAATGAGAGTGAACTGCTGAACTGCAGTTAAAGTCTAGATTAAAAATGAAACACCTGAAATTGCATGAAACTCTGGAGGAAATGCTGAATAGCCTGATGATGCCACATTAATTGTTTTATACTGAAACTTTCCTTCTAAAAGTGCTTCCTTGGTCTTATTCATATTTCTTTGCACGTTTAATACACGTCGGCCACAACAGGAAATAAAAAAACTGGAACTAATTGCGTTATTTTTTAAAGGTGTTAAATATTTCAAATTAATCATGTGCATTAACGCGCTAATTTTGACAGCTCTAATATATATAAATAAAAAAGTGTATCTTAAAGAATATTACCAAAATCACATAAAAAGTAGATTGAAAATTTAATCATGCGTGTCATACTGAATAACATCTGATTCAGACTGTCATTTTGTGAACTCTCTTTGAATTCCCAGACCTGTTGAGCAGGGCAGTGGAGAGCAGCATTCGTGGTATGACTACTACAAACAAGGCAAACAAAGCACTGAAGGTATGTTCCATAGGACATGTCAGGTAAACTGTCTCCAAATCTCAATTCACTTCCTGAATCACTGGTCTTTTATTTCCTCTTCCAGCTGAAGATCACCATAGACTTCCATAGTTTTCCATTTCTATCAGGAAGACTCGGGAGGTGGATAAATGTTTTAACATTTATTGAAAATGCATAAAACATTGTAGTTTTGGTTACTGTCCTTTGTGTATAGTCCTTTGGCATAAGCCCCGTTGATGATGCAAGTACAGTGAAGAGCTGATAAATACTGCCTGAAGATGAAGGCAGGGCAGAGCCAACCACCAACGAGAAGTTGGGCACCTCGCTTACACATTGCTTAAAACATACAGGATGCACAGCAATACATAAATATCTCTACAAATGTAAAAGAATTAAAGGATTAAAATATTAAACAAACTATTATTCTTTACATAAATATAAACACCACTGCTTCCATGCCTTCTTCATCTCGGGGAGGGGGGTTATTTATTGAACTGACAATTTGCATAATGTTTTTATTATTAGTATTATTATTTATTATATGCATGTTTATATTTGCTTTATTAAAACAAGCTTAGATTTTTCCACGTACAAGTTTTAGGCCATATGGTGCATAGCATGTGTGTTTGGATATAACTAATTTTTTTGACCACACTTGGTTATTATTGTTCATTTATTTGTTTGCTGGAAATTAGAACTGAATTTAAAAATAATTTTGAAACAAATCTTTGAGCTTAACAAACAAAATTATATAGGCTAATTGATGTCTGTGTGTACAACACCGTTTCCTTAGCCACGAAAGAGAAAGTAAAGGCTGATTGGAGGAGGCTCATTCTTTATCCTTGCGCTGCAGATGCTCTGTTTAACTGTTTTCTCATTAGTAAAACATTCAGTTTTTACACTTACAAAGTCCGCCATGTAAAAAGCAAACGCACCATGACGTGATGCAAATGACTCCTAAAGGGAATGGGAGCTGAGACTTTGTTTGTTCTCACACCCAGAACTTATTAAGAGAACGAGCACAACCCTGTTAGACCATGCGCTGCGTCGCAGAGTGTATTTTTCCTTCCTTAAAATAGCAAAAGTAAATTCGGACACACCCTTAATGCTTTTGCGCCATGCGCTTTAAACTTTGTGCCGGGATCGTTAAAATAGAGCCCATAGAGTTAGAGTCTTCCTGGTAGAACCTTCGCTGAAGCTTTCATCTAAATTCTTTTCAGTCTCCTATTTTCTCTACCATTTACATATTTCAAATATTTCATATCTTCATTTGTGTTCAAAAGAAGAAAGTAACTCATACAGGTTTGGACCAATGGACGACGAGTCACATAATTTTTATTCTGGAACTGAACTTAATTTTTTATACACCAAAAGAAAAGTATTAATTCACACAATAAATGACACTTTAGTCACATAGGAAAAGCTTTAGTGGCATTAATTGGCAACATAATTTTTAACACATTTATTTGTCTTTGTAGATGTTAGGTAAAAATATAATTATTAGTTAGTAGTGTTTGATACCACAGATTTTCCTTCCAATCCGATACGGAGTAAAATTCAGGCTGCTATTGCTAATACTGATCCAATAACGATACTTTGTGCAAATACACCTTATGTGTCTAATAAAAATTTATCTTATTTATTTTAAACTAGGAAGTATTTTGAGGTAGCATGTAACCTCATTTACAATATTGCAGAGCTAAGAAAACAACTGAAAAAAACAAAAAGAGGATATAATCAAATAAAAGATAGTTTTGAATAAAAAAAGAGATATTCACGTAATAACAGTAAACAAATAATGAAATGACAAATTGCTCCACACTTTACTTTGTTTATGCTCTCGCTCTGACATTGATGTCGCAGGACTGACTGACTGCATCTGTGTGTGTGCGGCTGCGTTTCCACATTACCCTCTTCCCCAGGCAGAAGAAAAAGAAATTCCCACCAATCGCATATCATTTAAAGAAGATCTCAATCGTTTAGTTACTTTCCAATGTGTTTCAATTAATACGAATATTGTAAAATTAATATGAATTATCTCAAACTGCTCAAATAATTAAGTATCTAAGTTTTTATTTAAGAATTAATCTTAGAGCACAAAGATCTGTTATCAAAAGTATCAATATTTTAGAATCGATCTGCACATTACTATTATTCATTGCTTTTTTTATATCAGTGCACTACCCAAATGTAAGACTCGTAGACTTGACCAAGTAAAGACTCGTTAGAAAAAAACATAAAACGTTTTTGATTCGTTTTAAAACTAGGATTAAGATTAATCAGTGCTTTAATCCTAAAATATTTTTCTCATTCAGAGAAAATTACAGAGTATGTGTGGAATAAGGCTCATCCGTGCAGTTTGTTTAGTACTGAGGGCCATTACACTTGTGCACAGTTTCCCTCTTTCTCCTGTATTGATCTCATTGCTTATGGTTCTCTGCAGGTGAAGCGAGAGCCAGGTGAGAATGGCACGAGTCTTACAGATGATGAGCTGGTGTCCATGTCTGTGCGAGAGCTGAATCAGCACTTGCGTGGTCTGACCAAAGATGAAATCCTGCAGTTGAAACAGAGGAGACGCACACTTAAGAACCGGGGCTATGCTGCCAGCTGCCGCGTCAAACGTGTCACTCAGAAGGAGGAGCTGGAGAAACAGAAGGCAGAGCTTCAGCAGGAGGTGGAGAAGCTCGCCTCTGAGAATGCCAGCATGAAAGTGGAGCTTGATGTTCTGCGCTCCAAATACGAGGCTCTCCAGAGTTTTGCTAGAACTGTGGCCCGCAGTCCAGTGGCAGCTGCCAGGGGCCCTATCACATCAGTCATAGGGCCCCTCATACCAGGCAAAGTTGCTGCCACCAGCGTCATCACCATTGTCAAGTCTAAAACAGAAGCACGGTCATAATGCACAAACGGAGAACATTTTTTAAGTATATTGGTCAGTGTGTATCTCAAGCACAGGGTCGTTCATCCTATATGACATGCAATAACAGTCAACAATATCAGAGAAACAAGATCAAAACTGAAACAGATAACACTGACATCGCTCAGAAAATGACAAAAGAAGCAGAACCCTCTCAGAGCACATTCTGTTTAACCCTTAATAAAAAATGCATTCTGTTCATCATCATATGCTACGCCCCTATAACTTGGTCCATGAAAACAGAAGGTCACAACTGAGTGGAGGAACTATGACGTCACCTTTTAGGTTAATTGGCTGCTAGCATAAAACTGGTTCCCTCGATAAAATCTCCATAGGATTTTCGCTTAGGCTTTTCGAAGATTGCAAATAATAAGCTGTGTTCAAACACAATTCAATACACATATGTTTTGTCCAGCCAGATAATCCTCACACGAAAACATGTCCTATAGCACTTTTAGATCTTAAATGCAAAAGCAAGAATTGAAAAGCTAACATTAGGCTATAAACAGACAACAGAGCCTTCAGGGCGCTCGCCTGTGACTACAGCACCACCCTGCTAAAGACAACTTTTCAAGCTTATATTCAGAAATATGGTCTATGACAAAGATTTACTTTCTCTGCTTAATATATTACAATCCTAGCTATATATTATAAACAAATAAATACGCAAAAACACATTTGTATAGACCAACGTGCCTTTTTAGATACTGGGAAATACATTTTGTTTTGCTTTACGGTTGTTTGAAGTTGTTTAAATTAAGTTGCTTAAATTAGGTTTTAAAAACTGTATATGTAAATGTGGCTGCATAGTACATGGTGGGCCATTATATGGATTCACCTTAATAAAACGAGAATGGTTAGTGATATTACGTCCTGTTTGTGGCACATTAGTATATGTGAGGGGGCTTGTAAATAACTCATAAAACAATAAAGTTACGTTAAAACCAAGCACACCATTGTTTTTCCTAGTGAAATTCCCAATAAGTTTATTAAGGTGTATCCATATAAATGGCCCACCCTGTATTATCATATGACATATTTAAATAAGTGTATTGTGCACGTGCAAACAGCCCGCTTACCTTAGTAACAGACAATAGAAATGAGGCGTGAGGGACAAGTCTATCAAATGTCTGCTAGTTCCATCATGGACACAGAACAAAATTCACTATTCCTTTTTGTCACGAAGTACATAGAAAAGCAGCCCATATAGACACATATGCTATAAATTTTAAGGAGAAAAGTAAATATTGCAGTTATGACAAATGTGTATATGTGTTCAGATAAAGAAAAAAATTGATCACGTTAAAATGACAGTTTTTACGTATTTCTTACACGTTTATTCACACGTTTGCGTTACTGAGAGCAGGAAAGAGACAGGCTGCACTGATAAGCAGTATCTTCAAAATATCGTTTATTAAAATAAAGGATCAACAAATGAATCTGTCTTGACGGTCTTTATAAGTGAAGGCATTATCTACACACAATATGAATTCCCAGTTAAAAAAATACTACAAACTATAAAATACTATTCATGGAAATACTTAAATAACAGACAAATCCAAATGCCCAATGTAAGCAGTCTGCGTTCCTGACCAGCTCAGCTCGATGATGTATAATGTCTCTGACACCGCCTGTAGTCCCATTTAGCAACTTGATAGCAACCGTCTTTTTAAAAAAGCGTAACCAATTTGAAAATCAACAGTGTGATGTTACTGATGTGTTTGTTTTATGTCGTAGAGTAAAACGTTAAAGTATCTTGAGTTTGTGTTAGCCACAAACATATTAAAGTGCTTCAACTGAAATCTTTAACTTGCAGATTCGCACTCTACAACATCAGAAAGGTCCGACCCTTCCAATCTGAACATGCAACTCAACTCCTTGTTGAAGCTGTTGTTCTCTCCAGACTGGACTATTGCAACTCTCTACTAGCCAGGCTTCCAGCTAACTCTATCAAACCTCTTAAGCTGCTTCAGAACGCAGCAGCACGAGTGGTCTTTAATGAACCTAAAAGAGCACATGTCACTCCGCTACTCATCCATTTGCACTGGCTGCCAGTTGCTGCTCGCACCAAATTCAAAGCTCTGATGTTTGCTTACAAAGCAACTTCTGGCTTTGCTCCTTCTTATCTGCTCTCCCTTCTGCAGATTTCTGCAGATGAAGAAATCACTTTCCCGAACTCTTGCATTAAATCTGCCTAGTTGGTGGAATGAACTCCCTAACTGCATCAGAACGGCAGAGTCACTTGCTGTCTTCAAGACAGCTAAAATGTTAACTCGCTTTCGGGCTTTTGCGTACAAATTGACGTCACAGTTCCTCCACTCTATAACATTGATGGTGTTCTTCACTGATACCAAATTTGATGTAGACTATCAAGGCAAACCAAGAGTTGAAGTCAGAAATATTAGCCCCCTTTTGATTTCATTTTCTTTTTTAAATATTTCCCAAATGATGTTTAACAGAGCAAGGAAATTTTCACAGTCTGTCTAATAATATTTTTTCGTCTGGAGAAAGTCTTCTTTGTTTTATTTAGATTAGAATAAAAACTGTTTAAAAAAAAAAAATTTTAAGGTCAAAATTATTAGGCCCTTTAAGCTATATTTTTTTTCGACAGTCTACAGAATAAACCATCGTTATACAATAACTTGCCTAATTACCCTAACCTGCCTAGTTAACCTAATTAACATAGTTAAGCCTTTAAATGTCACTTTAAGCTGTATAGAAGTGTCTTGAAAAATATCTTGTAAACTATTTTGTACTGTCATCATGGCAAAGATCAATTAAATCAGTTATTAGAAATGAGTTATTAAAGCTATTATGTTCAGGAATTTGCTGAAAAAAATCTCTCTGTTAAACAGAAATTGGGGAAACAAATAAACATTGGGGCTAATAATTCTGACTTCAACTGTGTGTGTGTGTGTGTGTGTATATATATATGTATATATATATATATGTATATATATATATATATATATATATATATATATATATATATATATATATATATATATACATACAAACATACATACACACAAACATGGTCACACTCACAGCGTTTAAGTCACAACTGGAGTTCCCTTGTTTGATATTGTCCACTGACGGGGATGGGAGGATGGGAAAAACGAACAATTAACAATTCAACTGTTCTATCAGTGGAATCCTGTTTACAAAGAGAGGCAATAAACTACTTTATTTATGCATGGGAGAGCAGCGAGTTAAAAGAAAACCTTTGCCTAAATATATCTCAGAGTGGAGAGGGTTTTAGAAAATATTTTAAGCTTATAATCCATGATGATCATACTGTATTTTTCAGAGTTGTAAATCTGTAGTTTTGTTGTTTTGTGTTAATTGTTTAATCATTCGAAAATGTTCTCTGATGTGTTACTCTAAAGACTAAAACGTTGCTGTTTTTGTTTCCAGAACAAGAAAAAAAAACTGTTTCTATGATAAAAAATAGTTTGATATCAGTTTTGCAATTGTACCAAAAGTGGCTTACTATTGAAGTGTGATGTTTTTCTAGTTAGTAGACGCATACAGTGGGGTAGCACGTGGCGTGCTGTGTATGTGGTCAGGTAGCAGTGTTGTTCACTGTGTAAGTGTCTGCTGTACTCTTTAAATGAATAGAATTATACATAACATCCACAATGAGTCCTTCCACATCTCTGTAATGATGCAGTTTTAGTACATGTTTTGGACTTTGTTCAATTATTATTATTTGCTTAGAAATTCAACTGCAGCCGACTTCAAGATGCATAGTCAGTCTGGTTTAGCAAAAAAAATCTGGCTTAATATTTTGGGATAACATTTTAACCAAAAACATCAAGACCTAAATTTGAATCATCTGCAAAGCAATAAAGTTATAGATCTGTTCCAAAGCCCAGTGAACTGTTCACACTAGTACATTAAGGGGACATATGTGCTTTCGCAGCATTAGGATACAGCCAAATACAGAAGTATCTCATTCAAATATGAAAGCAGTGGCGTGCACATATTGACAGGGAAACACCCTAATAATCAGTTATATATAAATGCCAATGCTTTTTGAATGAAATATACAAAATAATATGCAAGATTAAAAAAGTGCAGTAAAGTGATCCCCCTGAGCAGGAACTATGGATAACATTTTAAACTATTATAATGAGCGGTACAATATTTCTTACCATGGAGACTCTTTCTTATCAGTCACTAACAGTATGAGGCTCAATTTCAATTAGGGTGCCCCCCTTAGTATGCCTAAAATAGTAAAAGGCATTGCCTCTTCAAGGTTTGGAACAGAGCTATACTGTTTTAAAAGCATCATCTTGGATGTTGTGTATTCGATAGACAGATATTTACTCTGAAATTCAGAGCAGAGATACATATTACTACAGCATATTTGAAATACATGAGACGTCTATGTTGGAGATGATCAGGACAAACGTTGAGTGCAATAATAAAACAGCAGAATTACCTGGTAATTAAAATCTATTCTCTTGTACAGTAAACGGCCCCTGAGAACTTCAGATCATTGACTGCAGTTGATTTAACGTTCACCCCGAAATTGAACTCTGTCGTGCACATTTTGTTCAGCTTATAAAACCTGATTTTTGGTCATACTTTCCTGCAGTAATGATCAGCAACCGCAGGTCTAGTAATGACAGCATGCATTTTTGGGTGAACTATTCATTTAAGAAAACATGAACAGACTGGTTCTGATTCACTGTGATATGAACACACTGCCCTCTTACCACCCCTCAATTTAGATTCAAGGTTACGCCTGAGAATATTTATACCTATCATTAAAAACAACTAATAGTACAATATGCAGCACGAAGTTTTAGCACATAAGGTGTATTTATTTAACAATTTGTAAAAACCACACACTTGCAAATTTCACCAGTTTTTTTAATAAATAAATAATAAAAAAAAAAAAAAAAAAAATATATATATATATATATATATATATATATATATATATATATATATATATATATATATATATATATTTGTTTGCACAGTCTTAGGGCCCTATCATACACCTGGTGCAAATCCCTGTTAGACCATGTGCTGCGGCTCTAAGGCATTAAGGGTGTGTCCGAATAATCCACTTTTGCTATTTTAAAGGGTCACGAAACACCAAAACACATTTGAACTGTTGACAGTCGTATATGTGTCCCACACTGCTAAAAACACTATTAAGACACACATGTTCCACTAAAAAGTGAAAATTGGTTGTTTTTGCGTTATTTCGAGCAAATTCATACTTCCGGTTTGAAACTAATTTTTGAAGCTGCGTCACGAACTTAGTGTGTATTCCAGCATGTAGACTGGATGTCTGTACCTGGGTATACCGTATTACATCTCCGAGTGTGCTGCATTCATTCATGAGTATGGCTTGATTCAAACCAATCAGTGCGCGCCATTATGTATGCGCTGCAACTTCATTAATATGCATGCTAGCTTCGAAGATTGTACCTGAAACAGTGTTCAGATGGCAGAGAGACCACACACGTCGTGTTGCCAAAAGTAGTGGGAAAAGAATAAGAATTGTTTGGAGATATGGGTCGTCAGTGTTAAGTGCTGCAGTAAAGGGTTTGTTTTAATTTTCTCTCTATGAGAGCGCTGCTGGACTCACGTGTGGATCCGTGCACACAACGCGCGAAAGAAGTATGTTTGTTTGGAACATTTTTTACTCAATAGCTTTTCTCATCTGGAAATGGACTTTAAAAAAGACGCAGCTCCAGTATGTG